CACTGCAGCGTTCTATCACATCACAGTACAAAAAGCCGATGTCCAGTAAGCGAGGCAGCCTCCAAGGGGCAGAAAGGATCAAGCGGAAGTGCTTCTACCTCGGAAATGTCGATCCTGGGTGTGAGGCTGACTCTATCAGGGAGTGGTGCAAAAAGAAAGCAGTTGACGTCCTCAGTTGCTCAATTTCGGAGTCCAAGTACTTTGGTACTGCTTATGCTCACCTTGTTGTTCCGGCTGAGCATACTGACCAGGTTCTCAAAGAAGATTTCTGGCCAAGCAAAGTTTCCATCAGGGAATGGAGATTTGCATCCGACAGCACAACCTTGGATCAGTCTGCTAGTAACTAAACCGTGCAATTGGACCCACACCCACCTTCCTCACTGAACCCACACGCACACCCATTCTTTCCTACCAGACACTCCCTTCCCACTCACCAGCATTCTACACCACCCCAGCTCACACTCATATCAACAAACTGTCGTTCTGTAGTAAATAAGTGTACAGAGCTTACTATTGTTGCTGAAGAGTGGCAGCCTGACATAATCTGCCTAACTGAAACCTGGCTCGACCCGAATATTGCACTTAATATTACACGTTATGACACCTTCCGGAGGGACAGGCCCCCTGCAGAGAATAAGTCCGGGACAAGTGCAAGAGGTTATGGTGGTGTCTCTATCCTTGTTCGACAGAATAAGTTTAAGTCTGTTGCCATGCGTCCCGATCTAGCTCGCGATGGGTGCGAAGCCGTTTGGGTTCAACTCCAGCCGTATCTGGCTGCAGCTGAGCCGATCCTCCTCTGCTGCAGTTATCGTCCACCTTCTGCTAAGCCAACAGATATAGCAAGGTACTGCCAGACTCTCGAAGACGTACTCATTACTCTTCCTCTTTCATCTTCTCACGTTATCTTGACAGGTGATTTTAACAGCAAGCACACGTCATGGTGTTCGACAGATTCCACCAATACTGCCGGTGCTGAATTGTATCGCACGCTCAGTCCATTTGGTCTTCACCAACTCGTCAACACATGTACATACACGTCACCATCTGGTGTCCAAGCCTGCTTGGATTTGGTATTTAGTAACCGTGCCAATCTCTCGTCTTGCGTCGAAACTGACTGCCCTCTGGGCGCCTCAGACCATGCCATTGTGTACTGCCAGTTCGACATTCCCCTGCCTCAGTCTCCCCGCGAAATAACGTCTCAAGCTCAGGAGCCTAACCCTATGTCTTTCGATCTCCGACACGTCACACCTCCTGTGTGGGAGGCGGTCAATGCAGACTTAGACTCAGTACCTTGGAACTCATTAATATCCTCAGACGTGGACAGTGCACTTAGTAACCTGCACAGTGTCCTGCAGACTGTGCTGTCCAAGTATGTTCCCCTTCATAGCTCCCGCAAACCAAATCGAACTCCCTCAACCCCAGGGTCTACACGCAAATATCATCCATGGGTTTCCACTGAACTACGCAAGGCTATCAAGTTGAAGCGTGACCTATTCAGCCTCTTCAAGAAATTCCCTACGGACTACAACCTATCAGCATATAAGGCACAGCGGAACCAGGTGAGACATCTCTCCCGCTGGTGCCACCGCCAGTACATTCGTTCAATCAAAACAACACTTACCTCAGGCAGCACTACGCTTCACCAGTTTGTCCGCAGTCAGCGATCGCACAAAGTAAAACCTGGCATCCCTGACATTGCAAGCCCTGATGGGCTGCTGGTGTCCGACAGCTTCCAAAAAGCAACCATCCTCAACAAGCAGTTTACCTCTGTCGCGGTGCCTGATGACCCACGTTTAGTAATACCCCCTCTCCAATATGACACTCGTCTTACTCGCCAATTCGCCCGCGTTCATATCACTACAGCAGATGTTCGTAAAGCCATCTCAAACCTGAAATCTGGGAAAGCGCCAGGGCTAGACGGTATCACGAACAATATGATAAAGAAGCTAGCTCCTGCGATTTCTTTTCCACTTAGCCGCCTATTTAACCTCTCCTTTACCACAGGCAAGTTCCCTACTGACTGGAAACTGGCTAAAATTGTGCCTATTTACAAGTGCAAAGGCAGCAAATCTCAAGCTAGTAACTATCGCCCAATTTCCCTCCTGTCCTGTATTTCAAAACTTTGCGAACGGCTCTTCTTCAATCAATTGTATAATCATATTTCTCCTGCTCTGGATCCCGCGCAATCTGGGTTTCGTCGTGGTGACTCGACCGCTCTACAGCTCACCAAGCTGATCCAAAACATTGCCGACCATCGTCATATGGGGCGGAAAGTTGCCATGTGCTTTTTCGACCTCGAGAAAGCTTTCGACACCGTGTGGCACCGTGCATTACTTGCTAAACTTTCCAAAGTTTTCGGTGTGTGTGACTCAGCGCTGGAGTGGATTACAGACTACCTATCCGACAGAACGCAAGTTGTCTTTGTAGGTGGAACTCTCTCAGATGCTTCACCTGTTCTGTCCGGAGTGCCCCAGGGATCCATCCTAGGGCCCCTCCTTTTCCTAGTATATATAAATGATCTTCCCAGTCATGTTGAAGGTGTGTCCTTATTTGCTGACGATACTGCACTGCTCCGGTTCAATGAGTGTCTAGACAGGCTGCGAGACAGTCTCCAGCGCGGTATCAACGAAGTCCATCAGTGGATGACTACCTGGAGACTAAGACCTAATATCGCCAAGACTGAGATATTATTCCTGCCGAACTCAGAGCCAACCTATGCATTCACTCTTCCCGGATCCCTCACAGACCTCACAGTGGTAAAACAACACAAACATCTTGGTTTGGTCATTGACTCAGACTTATCGTTTAGTAGACATGTCGACTATATCTGTAGCAAAGTCAGTAAAGCTGTTGGCTACCTCGTGTCTCACTGCTCACACCTACCGCTTGAATGCATTCGACTTTTTTATCATTGCTATATTCTCCCCATTTTTCTCTATTGCTCAACCGCCTGGTCATCCCTACTTAGTAAATCGTTAATGAGTACCCTGGAAGTCCACAATAAGAGGATACTCAAAGTCCTTTTCCGTAAACCATCATACTTTCCTTCTGCCGAGCTGTATGATATGTTTAACACCTTCCCTATCTCTAGTCAAGCGGATCGAAAACTGTGTATTGTTGTTCATTCTATTCGTCTTGAAAAAGCCCCGCCACACTTGCGTAAATATAACTGGTTTCTTCCCACTCGTCCTACGCGCAATCCCTGCACTTTACCTAAAGCCCGAACCTCAGCTTATACCAGATCTCCGTTTTTTGCTGCCTATTCTCTCTGGCTGGCCCTGCCTCTATCAGTAAAATCGTCTTGTACGCTAAAGGATTTCAAGGCCAACATGAAGCTCGTGTTCTAATAACTGCTAGTTCTTCATCCACATTTGTTTCTCAGGCTTTGCCTCCAGTAATGTGTAATATTTATTTATTTTTGCTTTGTTTTTGTTTACTGCCATGGCTGGCTACCGCCCCCCTCCCTCCATATTGGCCTATATTCTCTGGCCACGGGAAGGTGAAATAAATAAAAAAAAAATAAAAAAATAAATAAGTACTAATATTACACCTCCGACCACTGATCCAATGTTGGCTCAACCCAGTTCCAGAAAAGTGAGCCAACTTGCTGTCTCCGAGAAAATCGAAAGTGAGCCAACTTCAGCTTTTTCACTTACCCGATCTTGGCTCACTTCGAGGACTGATGTGGGATCGGTTTCTGAGCCAACTTCGGGTGGTTCAGCTTTGGGTGAGGATTCCTAATTATTCTGTATTAGAGGAACGGTTGCCATAGGTATAACCAACGATTCTACACAAACTTTCCAAGATGACAAGCAAGAAGCCAACCCCGTTTGACACAGCTGCTATTCTCAATGACTTCATTGATTATCGAATCACCATCAAGGATGGGAATAAATGTGGTTCACTGACAATCAATGGTAAGGAACCATACATAAAATTCACTGATGAGACAAATATCATGAATGCTGTGAAGAAAGGACAAGAGGACTCTCTGAAATTTTCTACTGACAGTGACATTTGTAAATCCATCCGTTGTATCAAGAAGCAGATAGAATCCGAAGGAAATGTGGTTAGAAGCAGAATTAACACAGCAAAATGTGAGCACCCAATCCTGTTTCTCCAGATTTCTCCTGATTGTGCTATCTTTGATGAGGACAACAAACCATCAAAAACCAACAAGATCAAGCAAGGTGACACCGTCAATGGTATCGTTCACCTGAAGTGGGTTTACAAAGACAAGACCGATGACACTCTCAGTCTCAAACTTGTTGTTGTTGCTATAAAGCATTTCCAGAAAGAAGAAGTGAAATTCTCAGCTAACGATTTGTAAAAAATAGTCAAACAATCCACAAAAAGCAAAAAAGCAAAAAATATTTTTTTAGAAGTGAAATCATGGATGCGTGGTTTGATGACGACTACTCCACAAACAAAGAAGAAGAAATGATGGATACATGGATAGATGATGAACACTCTACCAGGAAAGATAAGATGATAGCGGACTACAATAATTATTGACTATAGAAACCAGGAATGGTTTCCTACAGATATAGAATTGATGATTTTGGAAAATGAAGTAACTCCAGAGGATCTTGAGGTGTATGAGATGAAGAAAAATGATCTGTATGATACCACATCTTTCTTCGAAGAAATAGAAAAATCCAAAACCAGAACAGGAATCGAAACAAGGTTGGAGATAACCCTGAACAAGGTTGGTTTACCAAAATATCTTAGCAAAACCCCATTCAACAATCTTGTTGCTAAAATTCAGAGGATCAAGGGAGTAGCAAATAAAGAGAAAAAAGTCAAAATGAGTTATCCATTCCTACTTTCGAAACTCATTGATGATGAAGATGATGTGATCAAGATCAAACCATTCATTCCAAAGTGTAAAAAGTCACAACAAAGACTTGCTGGCATATGGGAGGATTATAGAAAATCGAATGTGTAAGAAAAAGTAAAAAAAATGTCTTTCTTTCTTTTTCCTTTTTTCTTTCTCATGATCACTGGACGAACTGCTTCATCATATCCGGAGCATAACTCATGAATGAAATGCTGCTATCAAACCCCTCCTCAGCCAGATATCTTGGTATTTCATGGTGTCCGAACGCTAACGTGCTACATCCATCTTCTGTGATGTATCGTTTTGTGTTCAATGGTGATAAGGCTATCTTATTAACCGTTTCTCCGAAAATGACGTGTCTATGACTCCGGAGTGTTGTCATTTCTCGATGGAACACGGATTGATCCAAGAGACAATTTCGGAAATCATCATGTTTGATAGTTTTCTTGAGCACTGCTTTTTTCACCCCCTTTGCTCTTTTTCCACTTTCCTCACCAGAGTAACTGTACATCTTGGAACGAAGTCCTACAAACTCAGTGATCAGTTTCCCACCGAGTTCATCTTTGAACAGGCCAACAACTTTCTTGTTTTTCTCGGAATATAACGGATGTGATTGATCATAATTGCTTGTATCATACTTCTCAAGAAACTCACTCATGTCATGAAACAGATCATCAGTAAAGAAATGAAGAACCAAGCTGTCTGTATCGGTGTACAAGAGTCTCACATCAGAGCCATACATCACTTTCAGGTGATTGTAGTAAAAGTCATACATGAGTGTCTTTGAGAGATCCAAAATCGACATCCCAACATATATGGGCTTGTTGAGGACGACCTTTGTCCTGTTACTTTGTACCCCGACCAGGTCATCGTTGAAGATCACATGGCGGTTGTACGTTGGTTTGGCAACAAGCTGTTTGATTTTCTTCTCCTCACGACTTCTCAGCAATTTTATGTTGACTCTCCTCCGAACGTTCTCCATAGTTTTCCCAAACACCGCATTGTTCATCAGTTTATAGAAGTCCTTAGAGAAATCATCCTTTGCCTTCTTCCGGAGGTCTGTATTCTTCTCGATGTAGTTTCTCATCCACGGTGTCTGAGTAAATTTCAGAGCACGATGAATTTTGACACAACGTAGTCCGAGCTGAGTGTAGAGTTTCAAGTTTCGGTAATGAAGAACGTACTTTGTCTTGTCCCTCAAGTTTGGTACAAGTTTGAGAGCATCTACTCCGGAAGAATTGAGTTTATCAACAAGCTCCTGCTGGTATGGAGATAGCATGTCCTCATTGACGGAAAGACGTTCCGGAGCAACGGGATAATCGTTGTGCTTCTCATGAAGTTCGTGTGGATAATCCAGATCACACTCGACGATTTACCCCGATGAGGAATCATCTTGAGTATTCAGTATCTTATTCAGGAGTTTCTCTGATGGTTTCTCCCACCGAAAATCAGACACTGGGAGATGCTGTGACATTGCCCAACCATAGAGATTGTTGGCATCGAGATACTGGATAAATGACGATGGCTGATCAGCATCAAATTTCTCCTGATAGTGATTATTAGCAGCAGCATATCGTTGTGAGACCATCGACACACCGCCTCTCATTCCTGATTCTACAAACAAGTGCTGATCATAGTCTGTTAGTAATTCCAAGGACACACCTGAGTACATCAACAGAGCATCCCAGGCAAATCCAGGCAGAGTGTAGTAATTTGCTGGATCCAGCTGATACGTTCTGACAGCTTCTACTCTGAAATTCTCAAAGATGTCAGCCAAGAGAAACACGTCGGTCTTGAGATACAAGTCGTGATAATCACCAAGAGTCTGACAGTCGAATTTCATCCACATTGTCTCAGCATGTTTGTAGTCATCGTCACTCACCCCCTCATCAGCCAGTGAAGAATAGAACTTACTCTGTGCTGGCAGCTGAGTCTCATCGAACCTGGAGAAGCTGTTCATGTACTCATAGGGGTATACTCCTTTTCTCATCAACAGCTGATGGTTTGACAACGTCTTGGTGTGAGTGAATGACTCATCTGGTGTCGTTTTCACCAGTATATCGAGTGACGCATTGAGAAACTGGCAGCTGTCGATGAACCGGAACTGTCTCCATGTGAATGAGATGAATTTCTCCATGTTGTTGGGAATGACTGATATCTCACCCACAGTTTTACTCTTACACACACCATCCTTATCCGTGTATGTGACGGTCTCAACATCTGTCTTTCCGATTGCTCCGATGAGATGATGACTGTCATAGCCTTTCAGGTTGTGAAAAACCACAGGGATGTGCTGCTTGTATGGATACATTTTGAGTTTGATCTTACAGTCATTGTGTGCGGCACCGCGGAAATCACCAGTGATGTGGTCGTGATCACGGACTCTATCCTCACCAAGTTTCTTTTAACAAATCCAACAGTCTTCTGTCTCTCTGAACAATTCTTCTTGTTCCTTAGTGAGATCCATCGGTGCTGGATTATTGAGTGCTGATTGGATTTTCTTCTCCTCAGCTTTGAGTTTATCAAAGAATACATCCATGGCATCAACACCCCGGTAGAAACACTGACTTGTCATCACTCCGTCAGAACGCACCACGACGTAACCAAAACCACAAGGAACATGCTGTGAATCCCGGCTGGTTTGTTGGCTTTTCACTCCATCGATTTTCTTGATCAGTGCCTCAGTGTCAGCATAGATTACATAGGGACATTGTAGCATTTTGTGATGATTCGTCAGGCGAAATAGCACGTCATCGTACATTTGAGATCAGCGGGAAGAAGATGACGACGTCCACTAATTTAGTATCTGTGCACACGAATCTGCTGTGTGTGTGACTCTGTGTGTCAGCTATGATATCATCTTCTGTGGTTCCATGCCTAGCATGTACGTCTGAACCATCCTGCAAAGTTTGAATGACGTAGGTTGAGCGATCGCTCCGCGAAATATACTTTTTGAAATTCTCTTCATAGTATATCTTCCACCATTGAAATTTCGAATTTCTTCAAAAAAAAGTGCTGAGAGGGGTGGCTTGCAACCTCGATATGGCTTGTTCCAGGCATGCTTTGGAGCCATCTTCTGTTGAAGTAGTGGCGGGGATCTGCCCTGCAACTGCTACAACAAAAAATGATTCGATCTGAGAAAGGGTGAGACCGCGAATCTCGGTTGAATATTGAGTATTTCAGGCCTTTTCACAACGAAGATGGAGTTCTTTTTGGAGATGGACGTCGCGGCAAAGGACATGGTGTCCGACGTCTGGCGTCTGGTGAAGCCAGGGATCATTTGTCCAGTCAGGTCGGCAGCCTAACCGTCGGTAAGCTTGTGTTTGGATCCCGTTCTGCTCGATGTGGTAGATCACAAACAATTTGATATCGCACAAATTGATCTCAGCATCGTGCGTACGGTATTTTATATTCAGAAAATCCCAAAGTGTCTCTGTGTGGCCGTCCTATGCCATGAGAAACTCCAATCAGGCTCCTATGTCCTCTGCCTTCATGATTGAATGTCCACTTCGTTTGAACAACGAACACAACAATCGAGGACGGCTTTGCAATGAAAAATACAGCTATACTGGAGCTGAAAAAAGGAAGAAAAAAACGTGCTCAGGATGAGACTCGAGTACACGCATACTCTCCCAGCAGGTGAAACGCAAATTTTTGTGAAAAATGGGTGACGCCGACTGACCAGTAATTTCGCCTGACGAATGAACTTCAGTGTTGGTAGATTTCCATCTTCGTCTGGTTCTGGTAGTACCATGTGTGCTGATAATCCAGTGACATTATCACAATACTCCTGATGATTGCTCAGGGATTTCTCTGTGTTGTGTGGTTGGAGACATCTTGTACAGAAGAATTTCCTGGCTTTATGCTTTGACTGATCGTAGCACAATCTGCTGAAATCTTTGATCCAACAGTAGTGATTCTGATCTTCTTTTTGGTATAGTAGAAGATTGATCACAATCTCACCTCTTTTCTTTGTCAGCAGTAGTGGATAGATCACGTTATCCTCATACCCAAAGACATTGATAGCTAGGTTGTTTTGCTTCTCGACTTTGGAAATTTGACTCAGTGGTGTTGGAAAATCGATTCCGAGCAGATCAAGTTTATTGCTATAGTCTGTATACTGAGTTACCCTGTCACCATTTTTCTTTGCTGGATACAGAGCTGAGAGCAGTGCCCACATCAGACATTTATCATCCTTATTCTTGACATTGATGATTGCCTTCTTTTTCTTGAGCTCGTTCGGTAAATCAATGTAGGATTTACCTCTCATTGGCTGATATGCTGCTACATCAACGTAAAATCCGACGATATGATTGATGTGCCAGTTTGATCCATTCTGTATCCACTTATCGATATTTCTATGAATTTGTGTGTGTGCCGTTCGAATACCGTCATCAATCTCATGAGATGTTGTGACTGTCATTGGTCCACTCCTGAAGTATGGTGTGTCTGTGGTTGTTATGTCATCTCCTTTCTCCATTTCTACTTGTAATGCCAGACTGACTTTCACACCCTTGAGATTTTCCAGTTCTTTCTGTATCAATGTTCTCAGTGGGATGTTGATACTGTCAAAGAATATATACAGATCTGGATGATTCTCTTTCGGTTCATAGATGAACGATTTCAGAATCCCTTTGGGTACTGACTTTGAGACTGTGAACGGTGGTGTGACAATCGGTTTCCTCTTTCGATTCTTCCGAATCTGTTGCTTGAGAAGTTCCCGATTCTTTCTTTGGTCTAATTTTTTATGAATCCACCGGAGTTGTTTCTCAGTCTTGAGTTTCTTCTCATCATAGGTGATAGTGAGTTTGCTCAGGTCAAATTCCATCTTTACACTACACAAGGATTTTTTCAATCAGTGATAGCATTACTGTATATCACAACCCTCTAATGTACATTAATCTACATCCTAGAAAGAAAAAAAAGAACGGGGTGTGTCCAAACCTAGATTCGAACCCACGATCTTGTGATTGGAGACACAGTCATCATCAGCTGACATCACTGTGAGATTTGACCTTTCTCGGAGTTTTTCAGTTTCCGAGTCGGGACTTTTTCAGAGCTCACACATTTTTCAGTTTCGGAGTCGGAGCTTTTTCAGAGCTCACATATTTTTCAGTTTCGGAGTCGGAGCTTTTTCAGAGCTCACATATTTTTCAGTTTCAGAGTCGGAGCTTTTTCAGAGCTCACATATTTTTCAGTTTCAGAGTCGGAGCTTTTTCAGAGCTCACATATTTTTCAAATTTACGTGTCTACATTTTTCACAACCAGCTGAGTTGATCAAACGGGACCCAGCTGTCGAATCTTGCCGAGTAGCCTTTCCACCTCACAAGGGCTTGTTTCTTCTTGTTGTCCTTTCGGAGCACTTTCTCGATCCGGTAGATTTTTGAGTAGTTTTCTGGAGCTCTTGCTCATAGAACGACCCGTCAACGGATTCACCATCGAGGTCCTTGACAGAGTACGTAGTCGGTCTGGTCGGGAGAATATTGGTGATCCGGAAAACCTCCTCGGTCCAGTTCGGAGTGTATCCTTTCTCGAAATGTCGTTTCTGCTTCACCAGTCGGACGTGGTCATCTATCTGGAATTTTGTGGACCTGGATAGTGGAGATTTCTCACCCAGTGAGTCACGGATTCGATCGGCGTTCTTCTCCCGTAATGCCTCAGTTGGTGTCATCCGAACACCTCTGTGTTTTGTCGTGTTGTACTTCTCTACCAAATGTGGAAGGACATCGATGTACCTGCTGGTGGAGTTAGCACTGAAGTATTTCCACATCCTGGTTTTCAGAGTTCGGTTGAAACGCTCAACTACAACAGCCTTTCCTTCGTTGTGAGTGCTGTACATCGTGATCTGATTCTCATCAAGCCAGTGTTTGAACGTTCGATTATAGAACTCGGTACCCTGATCAACCCACAGCTTACGTGGTTTCCTGCTGCTAGTTTTCACGATGGATCGAAATGCTGATTGGATGTCAACACCTTTCTTGGATTGGAGTGGGACAACCCAAGCATATCGGCTGAACAGATCAATGACAGTAAGCAGAAATTTGATTTCATCATTGTATTTACGAAAAGCTGTCATGTCCACGAGATCGGCAGACCAGATTTCATCAATCTCACTCACAGTCACTTGTCTCCTTGTGAAATTAACACGCTTCGGTTTATGTAACTCATCAGCCAGATCGTCCGTCCATTTCGTATCTATCTTTTTTTTACTCCTAAACCTATCATCTTGAACAAACCGGACAGGAATCCACCTTCTCTGATTTCCGATTTCTTGATAAA